TCATGTGTTCATGTGATAGAGAGGCTCCTGGATGAGCAACAGTTGTGGACCCATGGGCTTGATAGAAGGCACACAAGTTTACCTCTGGACTGAATGGCACAGAATGAGAACAGAGTAGTTATGAAAACATCAGCAAAGCTTCTGCTTAAGCTTAGCTTCCTTGGTTTCCAATGTTCTGTGACTTGCATACCTTCTCTCTTTATTCTGAGCAGATGTTTCGTGTGGAAATCGGTTTTCCTTCCAAGGCGGGAAACTCATCGCATTGCGTTACAGTCCGACGCTTGTCTTGAGCTTTGTTACACTGCCTGTGCCGACAGAGCGTGAGACGCAAAACACTTTAAACGGAGATCCTCGCAATTGCAAACATCGCCTAATAAATATTCATGAAGCTGGGTTAAATAGAAAACCGGCGACGTTTGCACAGCTTTTGGGAATGCCTTGCTGGATGTGACACATTTGTGCTTTGCCGTTCAGTTTGCGCCGTCCATCCTGAGAAGGCATGGCAGTTTAATAGTCTCTCTCTGCACAAGGAGAGAAGGGCTCCATTTATTTGGGCTCTCGTGGCATCGGTGCATGGCATTTCTGATGTGTTTTAGTGCTAACAAGAAAGGGGAACATAACTCAGCCATGGCTTCCTCTTCCATTTTCTGACCATCTGTTATCACGCCAAGTCACACTTCTTTGCAGTAGATCTTATATAGCGGACATGCAGATAGGGACTCAGCCTAGGTGTAATGCCTTTCGGGGAAAGAAGGAAATCTGCCAAGCCATTCCTTAATAGGCATTGGATAGAATGGGTCACGTCTGCCTGACCTCTGTATTCACTTTTGGGTTACACTTGGGCTGCATTGACCCCTTTTGGATATGGGAGATAATGCCACTATAGCAACTGGACTGCCTGGTTCATACAAGAAAATCCATTTATGAAGGATTGTGCTTAGATACAATAGAGACTATAAGGACAGAGCTGGAAGCAGCTGCATGCTGTATGGTAGGACAGGGCAATAGGAAGGAGAAGGGAGGAGATTTGGCCTGGGCCTATGCTGGCAATTCCTAGAGAGGCATGACATCATTTCCACTCCCCTCCAAAATGATGTATGCCACTGCTGTTGGCAGTCCTGCCATGTTCGCCCTCCCTCCACCCCTGGTCTCCTCTTGGCAATGCTGGGCTTTCTGCATCTTTCCTCACACGTGATTGGGGTTAGGTCTGATGGCTCCCTAATCCTTAGGATAGGAAGGGGGGTTTCTTGCCATCCCAGCAAACGATACCTGTTGGGGTTGGACTGGCGCACTCTCCATAGATGTGCTGCAGGGTCCTCTGGTTATTCACAGAAGGGTCCCCGACTGAGAAAAGAGCAGCTGACGTGATTTCCAAATTGGGTGAGGCTCAGAGGGGTTGTGTGGCCAGTTGAACCTCACAAGGAAATCCACTTCCCATCCCTCACTTACGACATGCCCTTCTGGTCCTGTGACCTGATACAGAGTGTAACCATTTTGGTTGTGTGTAGCTTTTAAGAGGGCGGAAGACAAATTCATGGAGGACAGGCCCATTGATAGTCACTTCAGAGGAATATATTATTGAATACATGCTGGTAGGGAAGTGAATTATTTATCTGTCTAGATCAAGATGGGTAGTCGTGTTAGTCTGTAGCAGTAGAAAAGAGGAAGAGTCCAGTAGTGCCTTATAGGCTAACAAAATTTGTGGCAGGGCATGAGCTTTTGTGAGTCACTGCTCACTTCTTCAGATGCAGCTAGAATGTGAGTCCATCTGTCATTATATCTTGGGGAGTTGAGTGATTTCAGATGCCGAATTACAGTAGCAGGCAAATGACAACAGCAGGTGAATGACAGTGGCCAGTGTGGTTGGATTAGGTGTTACATGCAGAGGGGTAATAGCCATGGAGAAGTCAGCACTGATAATAGGACAGAAACCTAGGTCTGGGTTCAGTCCAGTGGGTTTGCATTGTCTTTTTTTTTTTTAAATGACAACAGCAGGTGAATGACAGTGGCCAGTGTGGTTGGATTAGGTGTTACATGCAGAGGGGTAATAGCCATGGAGAAGTCAGCACTGATAATAGGACAGAAACCTAGGTCTGGGTTCAGTCCAGTGGGTTTGCATTGTCTTTTTTTTTTTTAAATCCCTGGAGGGATATTAGCGAAAGGACTACAACTAAGGAGAAAGAAAAGCAAACCACACTAAACTAAAACCTCAAGAGGAAGAGATCTTTTTACTGTTAGTAAAAATGTTAGTACTGTTAGTGTTAATATCACAATATACTTGTAGAGTTCTTGCTTATAACAGTTCACTGTTTATATGTTATTTTATTAGTTATGAGAGAAATCTCTGA